TGTGAAGTTGAAAAGAAACCTGAAACCTACTCATTTGAGGAGATATGATGAGGTGACAGTCACTAGTCCTCTCATCACTCTTCTCTACGATTTACTGGTGTTCTCGAAGTCTACTCATAGAAACGAAAACCTTTGACGCTCATTCGATATCCTGGTCCGCCTGTAAACAGCCGTCATGTATCATCGTACATCATTTTTGCCATAATTTCCTGCCCACCTGTCAGTGGACTCAATTGCCCCAATCAAGAAATGTGTAGCTCATCAAATGGTACCGTTTCTACTACCTCTTCAAACTGGACTGTTTGGCCGGGGCCTTTGTTGAAGTAGGCAGTGAATGCCCAAAATACTCCATGTCGAGACCCTTAATTAAATGAATTCTGCAGGAAATTGTGCTCTTCCCTTAATCGTCATCAGTCAGTTGTTAAGGTTGGTCGCTGAAAAATTATGCCAATTGAGCACGATCCTACTCACGTGAAAAGCCTGGGAATTGAGACTACCCAAGGATGTGCTAATGCGCGTCTGTGTATTTGTATGTGTGTATGTGTGCATGTATGCATGTATGTACGTATTTGGGGGCTGGGAGGCAGAGAAGAAGTGGAAGAAGATTGATGGGAAGTGGATTGCTAACGGAGTCAGAGCTTCAGATTAAATTGATACGCAAGAGGTGGCAGATTCCCCTCAATTGTGTGTGTGTGTGGGATAGTTCGGAATCAGGCTTTCCAATTTGCCTGCTTGCCAACCGACCAGCCAGCCAACCAGCCAGCCAGCCATCCAGCCATCTCAGCGGACAAGTCGTACTTTCGTGGACCCAACTTGACCGACCAGCCATTCTCTCTTTCCCATGTTTGAGGCAGTCTTGTTCGTCGGTGTGCAGGCTTAGAGGAGGGATAATGGCATAAAGCAAAGGCATGTCAACACTCACCGTAACACACATCGGCGAGACGGCGTTGGGTAGCAGGGAAGCCTGGCCGGAGAAGGCACGTTGGTCTTGCACATCGCTCGGAAGGTCCTCATAGGCGATGCTGTCATTGCGGTTGCCGTCACCGTTACCGTCACCGTCACAGTCGCCGTTGCTGTTGCCGTTGACGTTGCGGTCGCCAATGACGACCGTCTCTGAGGGGCGAACAGGGCCGGGGGACAGCTTGAGGAGGGTGAGGACACCGGGTTCCGTAGCAGCGGAGGCGGCATCGAGAGGCGAGAGTTGGGGTTGGAATGCAAATTGGAAGGGAGATTGGGCCATCGGGTGTGGCTGAGGGGGGTGGGACTGCAGGTGGGCCAACGCACACGAGTGACTGATGGTGGCTGGTGCTGGTGTATGAAGTTGTGTGTGTGGATGTGGATGCATGTGAGGGTGGGAATGAGCTTGCAGCACAGAGGCGAGATGTGGTTGACAGGCGGGTTGGCCGTAGACCGAAGTGGGCAGGACGTGAGAGTGTGAAATGAGGTGGGTGTGTGCATGGGAATGGAGGCCAGGGGCAAAGGAAAGGGGTGAAGGGGGTGGCGGGAACTGTGACAAGGGCAGATGAGCCGGCAGACTTGGGTGGATCGGGAAGAGAGGCATGTGAAGGTGTGGTGAGGAGACGGAGGGTGCGATCGGCGAAGGCGAGGGCGACGGCGAAGAAGAGGATGGCGAAACCGAGGCCGAAGGTGAGGCGGAGTGGGAGGGGGGCAGGTGAAGCTGATGCGAGAGGTGTTGGCTGACCGAAAGGCGGGCCGGCGGGAAGGAAGGGTACGTGGGCAGGGCCGTGGGAGACGGTGACGGCGACGGCGACGGCGACGTCGACGGAGATGGCGATTCCGATGGCGACGAGTTGGCGTCGAAGAGGGCGGCCGGACGGGGCTGGTCGAGCCCGGCCTGTGGACATCTGCTGCGGTGGGACTCGAGCAGAAGCTGAACCGTGGGCGCAAGCGACTCACTCCCCTCGAGGGAGTAGACGCAGACGTCGACGGGCGCCGGCTTGGGCTTGTCGCAACTGTCGACTGAGGCTCGAGGCCGGAGTCGAGCCTGCCCCCGAGCCCGAGCTCGAGACAGGGACCCGAGAGGCTCTCGAATGGCCGCCTCGACCTCATAACCGTGACGGCCGGAGACGGCAAGCGAGTCGACGTCGTAGGCGGGTCCTGAATGGAGGCGGCCGAGGCCTGGAGACCGGCCCGCCGAGGTCAAGTGAAGCCAAAAAGACGGAGATGGCAAAAAAAATTATCAGTATTATTATTATCATTATTATATTAAAAGTGATATTAGTATATTCTGTTGTATTATAGTAATTGTTATTACTATTATGATTGAGCTTTTTCTTTGTATAATGATAATAATAAAAGGGTATATAATGCGAAATGGTGAACTAATAAATGCATTATTATAATAATACAAGATAGATTTTAAAAAATGTGTTTTTGGGTTCGGCATTCTATTATAGACTCTTTTTATTTGTTATTGCATCTTAATTTTTATGTAATATAAAGTATAGGTTCGTTAGACTAATTGTTTAGTTACATATATTTTTGAAATATTTTTCTTATTTCTAACA